ACACAAACACACACTGTTCCTCCATGTACTCAGTCCTTGCACAACCCAGGAGCTGTGCCAGGTTTTTATTTGCTTTCCTAGAGTGGGTTGTGTCTTCAGCTAATAAACCAGGAATGTGAGCACTTGGGGCTGAGCTGTGGCAAATATGAAGCGTGCCGAGCAGGAATTCAGAAACCCGGAGCCACTGCTCCCTGCTGCCACAGCCCATTCACACCTCAATGAGAGCTGTTCATTCACTCCAAGAGCTTCCAGATCCATCTGCACACACCAGCCATGAGTGAGAGCTGACCAGGCAGACATTCCCAGTGCCACAGGCGCCAGTACAGACCAGCTCCAGCAGTTCAGCAAGTACCACAGATCTAACAGCAAACCCAGGGAGCTCAATGCTCCCTAGACTGCAAAGATATCCCAAAATGGAGCTCTCTCTGTGCTGGCCACAGAGAACAGGGAAGGAGCAAGGCAGGACCTGCAGATTCTCCCCCGTCAGGTATCTCAGGCACAGCAGGTCAGTACAACCAGATCCTTGACTAACCCTGGGTAACCTGGAGCAGGATGCTGTGTTCAACTGCCACATCTGGCCCCAGGCTGGGATCCTGGAATGGAGGTTATTCCATACTGCTGCGCTGTAAGCCAGCCTGGCAGGTTTCTGTGGCTGCCATGAGCACACAGAGCATTCGCTGCCCCATTTCTCCTCAGCAGGCTGGTCTTGACCTGCCGTTTGGCTCATGCTATGCTGGCAGGTTCTTATAAACAGTGTGTGCACTGCTAGATAATGTATAGATAACGTAAAGATTATATAAGGAACTGGCAAGCTCCAGAAGTAACTGCCAGGACTTCCCTTCAACTGCTGTAATTGATGTCGAGGCCGGGGAGGTCGGCAGTGTGATTCAGGGAATGGAGGAGAGGTCCTTGGTATGGCACTGGCAAGGAAAACAAATCCAATGCCTCTCATTCCTCAGAGACTGCTCTGTACTTGTCCATACATCCCCCTGTCTGCTGCTGTGCCTTCTGCCCAGCAACAGCTGTAAACAAATGTGGGGAGGGACAGGGAGGATCAGGTAGGATCCTGTGTGGTAAAACTAATTAATCAGAGAAGGATGTGCCTGGAGGGGAGGCAGAGGCCACTGGCAGGTTGTACTGGGGGTGCTGTGCCCCTCTGGCTTGACAGAGGCTATGCATGGAGAAGGACAAGCCTGTTCCTGCCCCCCTTGGGCTCAGCATTCCCAGAGACCTTAACCAATCCTCCCGGCTGTAAGCTGGTCCCACGAGCAGTTTATCCCGCTAGTTGATCTCCTGTGCTCACTGAACGGAGTGTTCACAGCCACATCCCAGCTCCCTGCTAAATAAGGTTTTGCACGGAAATGGGGAGGGAACTTGGCACTAAAGATGTGCTTCGGCTTTCTGGACCAAGCTGATAACCCCAGCCCTCCAGGATGTGCATTGATCCTGCTTTTTTCCTGATTTATTACTCTCTCTCATCCTTTCCACTCCTTAACATAAAGCCAAACAGGACTCTTTCCCTGCCAGCCAAGATTTTAGTATCATTACTGGGATTTCAGCCCAGCATTATTTTGAGCCCTCAGGTACCACCTTGTACCTCTGCAGTGGTCTCAGCTCTTCCTATTTCCCCACTGGTGCCAGTGGGAAACACTATTCCCACAGCATTGTTTATCTGTAAGATACCAGTGACAGATAACATTCGTTGCCATTTTGTCCACTCCTACCTGGTTAGTAGAGAACTGAAGTGAATTCTATTAAAGAACCATTTATAGGGGTTTTTTTCCCCTCAGAAGATTGTCTTAGGGATCACTGGGCCAGACTCTGTGGGCAAGAGTCTCTGAGAGGCAAGAGATGAGACAATTTACCAGAGGTTGTGCATGTCCCACGTGTTATCCATGCTCAAGGCATTCAAAGCTATCTGGATTCCCAATCCCATACACACAGCAAGTGTCTGGGATTAGCACAACTGTTCCTCAGGCCACAGGGGATCCCACCAGCACCTGCCGGATACCCATGCTATGAGTTGGGTTTTTTCCTTGCTAGACACAAAAAGGACAGGACAAAGCTCTATTGTTTTCCCATCTCTTTGGCTCTCTTGGCAGACAAAAGGGAAAAAGGACAGTGATCACTGTGGGCTCATGCCAGCTTTATCACCTCTGGATGTTTGCTGTACCGGTGCCACAGCCCTGGAGCTCTCCTTGCCCTTTGCCTGTCTTATATCCAGAGTCCTCCACTGCCACAGACTCTGAAGGTCATAGAAGGAGATACACAGAGGTGCAGATGGGTGTTTGAGCTAATGTGGGGAAATCATCACTATATTTCTGCAAGGCTCATCTATCACGTAGAGATTATGCAAATTCTCCACATCCTGGGGCCACGTTAGGGGTCGGATAACACCTGAAGGTGCCGAGGTCCTGTTGCAGGACACTGTAGAAATGCCAAGTGTCCCGGTGTGAGGTGTCAGATGAAGCAGGAGGAAATGAGCTCCTGCTGCTGCTGCTGCTAACAGGCCAGCATGCACTCATACAAAATTCAGCAGGTCAGGGACAAAGCTGTGCAGAAGGGCAGGGTGGAGCCACACAGGACAGCTGACCTGCCTTCTGAGGTATGGCTGGTAAGGGAGTTCACCTGGGCAAGGGAAAGGATCCCCCTCGATCAAGGAGCCACAGATTTTGCTATAAGCATCATTCACAGAAGGCCAGAATGGTTTGGTTTGCAAGGGACCTTAAAGCCCATCTCTTTCCATCCCCTGCCATGGACAGGGACACCTTCCATGGTCCCAGGTCGCTCCAAGTCTGGCCATGCACACTTGCAGGGATCGGGCAGCCACAGATTCCTTGGGCAACTTGTGCCAGGGCCTAAGCACCCTCACAGGGAAGAACTTCTTCCTAAAAGCATTTTGGGATCAGCCCAGTGCAACCAGAGCCAAATTTAATCAAAGACAAATAATGATGCATGTTGGAAAGCCCTGCAGTGTTTCACCACATTGTTTTGAGTAAATAAACTAAAATCCACCCGTTTTCTTTAAAGCACCCACACTCCTTGGATAGCTGTGGCCCAAACCTGACTCTTTCATGATCGGCAACCTGGTTTTTTAATTCTTCCTGTGTTTAAATCAAAACTAAGTGCTAGAAAAGAAGGAGATTTTGGTGTTTTGGCACCCTGCTGTCCCCAGAAAGTCTGGCTGGTTCCAGACCTCATGGTCTTATTTGCGGATGCCAGCAGGAAACACAAAAATAAAAGTTTCCATGGGTGTGGGGGCCAGGTAGAAGCCAAGGAGACAGAAGGGATTTCAGGAGAACATGCAGCAACACCCCATTTCTTGCCCTGGGCAGCTTCTGGGACATCATTTGAATGACATCGGGAGACAAAATAGAGGCACTTTGTTCTAGTTCCGTGACTCGTGGAGGTAATGCAGAAATTCCCCCAGGGAAAAATCAACAGAGGGAGGGGAAACATCTGCATTTCTCCCTGTCCCAGGGTTTGCTGCTGTTTGAACAAGGCTGCAAAGGGCTAAAGGGGCCTTTGCTCTCTTGCACTCACTGAGTGCAGGTGATGGGAAGCTGGGCTATGCAGAGTTCTGAGGTTTTGGCCAGACCCCAAAACTTCCAAGGGCTTCTCTGAAGATTTTCTCAGCAGTGCATACTGAGATCTCTCCTGACAGCAACACGTGCAGCTTCTTTGAGCTTGGAGGACGGGTAAAAGGCATTGGATGGGATCCCAGAGAGTCTGAGGGCAACCAGCTGCTAGCCTGACCACTGCTACAGCTCCATGGGCTGTTTTCCTACCAGGAACACAGACCTGTGCTAACCTCCCACTGGAAACCTCATCCCCCTGGTATTCCTTCCCTCCCCCAGGGACTACCAGTTCCCCACACAGCTCCGCACCCTTCCTCTCAGGGCTGGAGACATTTGCCTGTCCGAATGTAAACTCCCTTTGTTTCCAGACCACCCACTTCAGTCTTTTCCACTCCCTTTGGAAAAGGAGGGGATGGGATGTCTTAAAATCCAAATCTGTCTCCTTCCCACATGAATGCGGTGTTCTCATTTCCATCAGTGTCATCTATTTACATTAGAAATGCTCAGGGAGGAAATTGAGGTTACTGAGAGGAAAAAAGTGCCTCACATCAGCCCCAAATCCCTGTGGGATGTGCTGCCTGTGCCCTACCCCAGACCTTGCCCCACATTTCAAGTAGGACAGACTGCAATTAAAGCCCCCAGCAACCAGAAAGTGCCACTGAACCTTTCCTGTCAGCCTGAGGTGGGAAGGGGCTGCGCTGCAATACTAATTCATTTATTCAAGGTCACTCTGGAGTGGCTGAGCAGGGAGCTGGGCTGGGTGTCTGAGGTCTTTCCCCTGAACCATCCTCACTCCACCTCTGAGCTGGTGTTGGTGGTGGATGAGACACAGGCTCAGAGCCCTGCAGCCTCCATTAATACCTTTGCCAATATCCCCATCAATAAATCAATAAATCACTTTTACTGGGGAACAGCCACCACTCCAGGGCTGTCAGCAGTCAGGCACAGAGACAAAACACTGATGTGTTTTCAGCCACAGGCACGGAGCTGCAAGTGTGAAGTACTCGTGTGCCCTACCAAGTTGAAGGCACAGCCTAAAGAGTCGTAGGATAAGTGTTAAAAAGCTTTAGTAATCGGCTTGAATTAGTTCCTACCCACCCTTGCCAGTCTCCAAAGAAGAGCAGCGGCATCTTTTCATGATCCTTATCACTGGGATATCTCCGGGTGCTCAGTATGCTCCCCAAGCCGCGGCCAGGATTGTAGTCAGCCCAGTGCACCAGCTCGATTTAAAAGCTCTCGGCTGGCCAAGGAGAAAGGTGAAATCCCCAAGGCAAACTCAAGGAAAGACAATGCTTGTTCTAGAGGGACACCTGCTGGCAATGGCCGAGGAGCCTGAGCTGGAAACTCGGGGACTGAGAGAAAGAGTTGTAACTCACAGATCCAAAGAAAAACAACCAATGCTTCTTTTCTTGTTTCCTACAGAACAAAGAAAAAAATACTCCAACTCCAACATCATTATGCACGAGACTTCCCAGTACCACGTCCAGGTGAGCACACACACGCAATGGAGTGCTGAGGGGCTGAGAGGCCGGGGTCAGTGACGGGTGCCTCTAGTGCAGTGTGTTCCCCGTGTTCTGGACCTTTAGGAGGCCAAGGGGGAGTCGGGAACCTCCTTACCATTAAAGTCTCAAGTCACTGAGTAAAGGAGAATGGGGAGGGGGGGGGAATATTTCAATAAACGAGGGGAATTCTGTACAAGGAAAGAGGAAATGGAGAAGCTGTTGTCTTCTCCCTCCTCTGTGTCTGAAGGAGAGCAAGAAATGTGGTCCCTCCTGTCACCCTGTGCTTTAAACCCCTCTGATCAGCACAGACAGGTTAAAAGCAGAGTTCCCATGGTGGTTACTGGAACTCAGCTTTCCAAACAACAGAACCACATGGACTATCAGCTTTCAGCTCTCCTCAGCTACTGAGTCCTCTCAGGTAACACAAACCCCTCCACGCAAGACAGGCAATAAGCCAAATCCCACTGCCACAGACACCCACCCAAAAAGAGAAGCCAGCCAGGCTTCGTGATTCCTGTAGGGCAACTTAGTGGTGCAGGACTCCATGAAGGAGGTGGGGCCATTCATCACTGAAAACTGAGCAAGGCAAGACAGGAGAACACTTCCTCAGGTTCGCATTTAGGAGATGGGGCCCTTTGAAAGCCTGCATTTAGACTTGTAAAGTGCTGTTTGGAAACAGGTCCTGGTTTCTGTTGGAGAAACCAACTCAGTGGCTCAGAAGTCACTCATGGATGCAGAGAAGGGACTTTAAACGGTGACATGTAAATGAATTCTTTATTAATTATGCCATAAGCCACCTGTTTGTGAGTCTCTCCCTGAACTTTGACCAAGGCAAACAGGATTGCAGTGGCAGGCAGTGAGATAGAATGAGGTTTCCTCATGGGAGGCATTTTATACCCTTTGAAGTAATCAGATCAAAGTTTAATGGTGGGTGGAGTCATTGCCCATTCTAATAAAAGCTGCTGCATTTGAATACCTATATGGATGAAAAGGGGTTTTAAGGGATAAAACAAAGACAGCAGTAAGCTTCTCTCTCTCAATCCATCCATATCTACAGAAAATGGAAAGCAGAAAAATATTCTAATGATTAAGTCAGACAAATAGCTTCCCCTCCATGAAAACTGACTGAACAGTAAACAGCAAAGGAATTTATGAAGCTTGTAAAGGTGGTGGATAAAATAATAGAAGAGATAAAAATGCCTGTCATCTTGAGTAAACCCATTCTCCTCATTGGTCTGAAAGAAAAGGGCTTGTCACCTCTGCACTGATAAAACAGACTCGGCAAATACCTTCCCATGCACTATTTTACAATTACAGTAACATACACCCAGCATGTTTTTCATTTGTGATTGCATTGCTAATCTCAGCTTTGGGCTCACACACCAGCCAGGAGTTCTATTTAGACAGTGCCTCACCCCATACCTTTGCTTGATGAACATGGGAATGGTCCTTGCGTTGTCCTCTACTCCTTCCTCCAGTTTTTAGGAATCATCTAACAGCAAATGGGTCACCATAAACCCTATACACCCCTAATGCCCAAGAGCATGTTTAAATATTTTCTACTAGGTCTACCAGTGCTTTAAATCCAAGCCTTTCCCTGCATCCACCTTGTGTGGAGCCAACTGCAACAACAGTTCTTGCCTGTGTTTCCTCACAACCATCCAAGGCTCTGTGCTCCGAGTGCACACATCCTTCTCGGGTCCACCTGGTCTGTGCCAGACCCCAACATCCACAGCTTCTCAAGTCCCACAGCAGTAGGTGCTGGAGCAGCATCAGCTTTTGCTGCCTCTTAATCTGCTTCCCACTTTGCATTTACCTGGGCTTTTACAAGGAGAAAGGAATTCTTTCCCAACAACTTTGTCATCCTCCTCCATGGCCCACGGATGCACATGTCAACTGTGGACACAACCCACTGGGTTACAGAATCAGCTCATGAGTACATCAGCACCAGAAAGAAGCTACTTGGTCCCTAAAATAGTTATTTCTGATCCCTAGGAGAAAGCAGGAAGATACAGAATCAATGGGAGAAAAGCCAGGCAAAACTCATCCTGTTACTACAAATTTCCTATCAGTTTAGGACTTGCTTTAAAACACCCCCCGTTTTTCCAGCTCTTGCTTTGAAACCAGGATGTGTGCTTCAAAGAGAAGCAGGCATTTCACTGCTGCCCTCCCCACAAACTCTAAATGCCTGGCAGGACCATTTTTGGGGTGCCACATTGCTGTCCCAGACCCTCCAGGGCAGCTCTACCTGCAGCACCTGGGTGATTTCCCTGCTCCAGGGGTTAATCTGCTCCTGGCTCTCCAGCTTAGCCACTGCTGCTGAAGTGCCTGTTCTGTACCCTACTGAGCAAGGAAAACAGGATGAGAGGGTCATGCTGCTGGATGGGCCTTTGATATCCCAGGGACAAGAGAAAAAGCTGGGATCTGGCCCAATAAGCCTCCAAGGGTTGCAGGTCCTTGGACTGCACAGATGCCTTGGTCAGGCCTGTAACTTATCCATGCAAAAACCTGCTTTTCTCTGCTGGAGAAAGTTGGTAAAGACAGGGAAAAACTTCAGCTGCTTTTTGACAGTCAGGCATATTCCCCTTCCCTTCTTACCAAAACATAGCTGGGCAACAAAAGAACAAGGTGAAATAGAACCTTGTTCCTTCCTGAGGTTTTTTTTCCCCTTTCTGAGGATTTTTCCTTCCCTGCTATCACCTGAACATGTGGCCTGGCTGTGCTGTCACTGCCCCGGGGACAACAGCTGGGCAAACAGCTTGGCTGCTCTGAGTCCCAGCTTTTCCTGTTTTGCAGTCCCCTCTGCTGGCAGACACAACCAGTTCTTCCATCCACAGGGAGCAGCACTTACTCACCTGGACTTTTGGAGTGGCCTTCACCCACTGCTGGTGGGCTCACCACATTTGGATGTGACACACCTCTCCTTTCCACAGCTGCCTCCCTGCCCACCATTCCCTTCCCATGGAATCCCAGGGGCCCACCAAAGTTGCAAGTGCTGCCCCATTACACGAACTCAGCACATACAGGTGCCAAGTGCAAGGCTGGGATCACCACACATTTCAGGGTGCAGTTGGAGCAGGGATGGGAAAGCAACTTGGATGGTTACACTGTAGCTGAGCTGCTCCTGCCCCAAGTGCTCGCACAGCGAAGGAACGGCAGCGAAGGAAGGGAGGACAGCACTGAAGCCTGGCAGATGGGAGAAGACCATGGGCTGGGTTTACAGGATAGGTGAAGGGAGGTGGGAATGCCAGGATAACCAAGCAAAACCACAGGGCAGGACAGAGGCAAACAGCAAAAAATCCTTTCCTACAGTCAGCAACACCCATTTTCACTACTGTGAGGGCTGATTTGGGTATTTTTGGGGAGATGGTAACCCCAACCCTAAGGGGGGCTTAAAGGGCTGGTGTAGAGTGAGCTGCCAGGTTTGGAGCCCCTGCAGGCTTTGCAGCATACAAGCTCTTCAGAGTAGCTGCTCCCAGAGCACAGGACCCCACACATTGCATGGATCCCACTTGGCATGGAGGATCAACACTTGCCCATGGCTTGTGTGAGCTCTTTGCCTGGCACAAATCCCACACAAGCAGGTTTGCTACACAAGACAAGCAAAACAAAAGTGCTTTTATAGCTTGGCAAGCAAAGCATTAGTTCGACTGCCATAGTTCTACTTCCAAGCCAGGTTCAGAGGAGCCTGAATAACTCATGTGCGTGAAGCATTTGCCCTGCTGCATGGGGATCAGAGCTGCTGGAATTGATGAGAGTAATATGCAAGTGGTGAAACTGGTTATGAAAACCCATTATGAAACCCAAATCTTTCACTGCCACAACCAGGCTGGTACCAACAACAAAAACTGTTATGTGCAGCAACAGCTTCATGCCTGAACTCTGGGAAACTACAAACAGTGATTGAAGCCTCTAGAGATGCTTTCATTACCAATTTACACACCCCAACAAACATTTTCCACCTGTTTTTATCTCCTTTTTCTCCCCAAATTCAGCACTTGGCCACCTTCATCATGGACAAGAGCGAGTCCATCACAACAGTGGATGACGCGATCCGGAAACTCATCCTGCTCAATTCCAAAGAGAAGATCTGGACACAGGAGATGCTGCTGCAAGTGAACGACAAGTCCATCCGGCTGCTGGACTGTGAGACACAGGTACCTGGAGCCCTGTGGGACTGGCCCCAGACTGAGGTGTGGAGTCCAATGAGTGTCCTTTCCATTCTGCCTGGGAGAGGGCAAGTTCTAAGGAACACAAACAAGGGTGAATCACTACAAATTCCTCTCCTAGATGACAGTCAGCCCTGCAGCATGGGAACAGGATGGTTTTAGCAATGACAAATTAGGAAGATCAGCCCAGGGATCCCAGGAGTTCCTGCACAGGACCATTCCCTCTCAGTTCAATCGTTCCCCATTGCCTGACACCTTTCCCCTTCTCTTGCAGGAGGAGCTGGAGGACTTTCCCCTGCCGACAGTGCAGCACTGCCAGACAGTGCTCAATCAGATGCGCTATTCCTCCATCCTCCTGCTCGTGTGTCAGGATTCTGAGCAGCACAAACCTGACATCCACTTCTTCAACTGTGACGAGGTGGAGGTAAGCAGAGCCCTCCTGCTTGCTGTGAAACAGAACAAAACACACTTCTTGCTGTCTGCCCTTTCCCCCTTCCTGCAATCCTTCCTAAAGCCAAGCCCTTAAAAACATCCCTGTTTTATCCTTAAGGCGGAGATGGTTCATGAGGACATAGAGAGTGCCCTGGCAGACCACAAGCATGGGAAGAAGATACGGCCACAGACACTCAAGTGAGTGCTGCGGGTGACAACTGGGAGCAACAACAATAATCCCCTGTTTCCAGTGGTTTAGTCACACTCCAGTCTCCTGGAAACAGGATCTGTGACTCCTGATGGGTTTGATCTGTGTCACTTTCCTTGCAGGGCAAACCAGGAAAAGATCAAGCAGAGACAATCCATCCTCCCCCCACCTCAAGGACCAGCTCCCATCCCGATCCAGCATGACATGCGAGGCTCAGCAATGAACAGGAATAGGGTGGCACCTCCTTCCCAGCATGATCCAGGTACTGGGAGCGCTCAGGAAGTCTGTCCTAGGGATGGGAGACTAATTAACTCAGACAGCCAACCTTCCTGAAGTGGTCTGTGTGAAAATAAGTGTTGTACCCACTGGGCATCTTCTGCTCAACAAATAAAAGCTCCCAGAAACTCCCTGTAACAACACCCTTATTTGGGGGATATGGAAATGCCAAAAAGCAAAAGCCCCTCATAAGCCATCATATGAAATTTGAACCAGGCCTTGGTGATCTTAAAATGTACAGACAAGACATTTGGTCAGAAAGACAAATTCCTGGCTCTGCTGACTTCACAGGAGCCAAGATTTCACCCTTGAAAATCAACTTGTTTTCATGAATTCTTATAAAGTCAAGTGTGGAAATGCAGATCTGAACTCACCCCTCTTATGTGTTCATCTAAAGTCTGATTCCAAAACCATCCTGACTTCAGCCCATTTCAGTTGGCTTGGAAAAACCTGGTATTTTCCTTTGGAGAAAGAAATAACAGAAGTAAGTTCCTAGGAACAGAAACAAGCTCTTTCTCTTACAAAATATTAAAGTGATGAACAAACTGTAAGCAGTTTTTACCCCTGCCTATCATACCACCTTATCTTGGCATTCATTTCTAGTTTCAAGGAAAATACCTAGAGGATACTATAACACATCCAAAACACTCATTTGCTGGGATGGCTTCTGAAGCCAAGCAACTGGTCTGGCTGCTGAATGGAGAACTTATTTCAGCCCAGTTCTGCACCATAGAAGGAATATCTCTATTTCTGAGCTGGACCATGAATAAACATCCCTATTCTGATGAAAAGCAGCCACTCTTACCTCTGCTTTTCCAAGCATGCTCACATCAGCAGACCTGGGAACTCTTCTAGGCAGTATTTCTGCCTCTGAGTGCACAGAGCCTGGCAGGAGAGCAGATGACAGGAGAAAGCCTTGAGTGATGCCTGTTTGCCGAGATTCCTTCTCCATGAAATGCCTTCCCACTTTTCCTACAAAACCTGTCCCAGTGGGGCACCTCATTCCCACATTTACAGATGCTCTGGACTTGTCACGATCCTTTGCCAAAACTGCCTCCCCAGTTCTCCCACTTGGCAGATCCTGCTGTGCCAGCCCTTTCCAAGCCCCTGCCCCGAGTTGACACCGTTTGCTTTGCACGAGGGGCCACCCCAAAAATTGTTCCTGCTGGAATATCCCCCCCACACTGGGTGTGTGGCTTCTGGAAGCCAGGAGGTTGGGTTTTTTTGCAGGGTGATTGGGATTTAGCACCTGTTACAAACATTATTCCTGAGGTGCCCTCACAACCCAGAACAAGCACCCAAGCTCAGAGCTACCATCCCATGGATCCCTGCCTTTTATGGAGCCTATTTCCAACCTCAGATAGTAAATCTGTTTTTCTCTGCCTTGTTTGCAGACTATGAACGACGAAGCTCTGGCTCTCATGACCATGAGGAATCCCGTGCCATGTTAGCACAGAAGATTGAAAAGGAAACGGTGGGTGACAGGGACACAGTCCATAGGCAGGAGCAGAGGCAGCGAGCAAGGGAGAGGGAGCAGAGGCAGGGAGCAGACATTTAATGCATCATCTGGGCATTTTTCCAGTCGACACCTGCTGTGCATAAAGATAAGGTGGCCAAAAGCAAGTCTCCATCACTGCATCAGTGACAATGTCCTCTGACCTGAGGCAGCTCTGCTGATTCCAGCTCTGCTCCTCCCCATCCCTCTTGGGTTATTTTCCAGCCGTCCATTAGGAGGGGTCACTTGTCCCCTTTGTAAGGACAGCACACAGCCAGGCCCAGCAGCTCCGGGTTTGCAAAGGAAAGCGTTGAGCTGCATTTCATGCCTGGATTACCCACTCGTGTGCATTCTCCTGGGAAATGCAGCAGGCCATGGGATTCAGGCTCCCAGCTGTGCACAGCCCAGGCTCACTTTCATGTTGGTCCCTCGGGTTTCTGTCCTCACAGCAAATCCTGAACTGCACCCTGGATGACATTGAAGTGTTTGTCGCCCGGCTCCAGAAGGCTGCAGAGGCATTCCGACAGCTCAACCAAAGGAAGAAAGGGAAGAAGAACAAGAAGAAAGGGCCAGCAGGTGCAGTGCATCAGCCACAACAAACGGGGAGCACAGGGGGGCCATGGATGAAGGTGGCGGGGGGGGGACACCTCAGCTCTTGGCCCAGCAAGGCCAGATTGATGCCATGGACAGCCACAGATCCAGGCACACAAGTTTGGGAGGTGCTGCTGCCCATGGGCACCTCTGGCAGAGCACATGGAGCCTCCAGCACACAGAGGGCGTTTGCCTTTCCCTGAACCCCTGATTTTCAGCAGTTCTGGTCTCAATACCCATTTCTGCTGTGCCTTCTGAATGGCAGGCAGATGGAACCTTCCCTAAGGGGATGCTCTCACTAACATGTCCTTCTCTGCCCCTTCTCCTGGCAGAGGGAATGCTGACCCTCCGAGCAAGACCCCCGAGCGAGGCTGAGTTCATAGACTGCTTCCAGAAAACCAAACTGGCCTTTAACCTCTTGGTAAGACACAGAGGAGTTTCCATCCCATGCAGGGACAGGACTTTTCCCTGTGTATCTCAGCAGTGAGTGTTTAGAGTGAAACTTGAAAGGAAAAAAATGACAAGGGACAACAGTGTGAATTCCAAGCTCTTCAGAACTCAGGACAAACATTGTGTCAGACTTGTGCAGGTTTTCTAGGACAAGTTGTTTAACCAAAACTCAAAGCATCAAGTCCAGCATGGGACAGAGCAGCCAGAGGGTTGCAGCACCCAGGTCTTTTCAGATCCAGGCCTGTGAAGTCTCTGCTTGATAGTAACTGAAGTTCCCCATTGCCCCAGTATTCCTGGCCCCTCTCTTTCTCCCCTGCCAGATCCTCTGTATTGTGAAGGGGATGAAAAGGTAGAGCATAAAGATGTTCCCAGTGCTACCAGCTCTGCTCAGTGAAACACAAGAGACCAGAAGGCTAACAAAGCAGCAGGAATTCTGTCAAGTTGTGACCAAACTTGTCCAGCAAACACATCCTGCAAGCTTCTTCCTGGGCAGTCATTAATAAGGAAACCCCAGAGACAGGGTTTGCAGGACACCAAGCTCCAGCCTTTTCTTTTAGAAGCAAATATGGATAATTTGTGCCTGCTCAGGATTAGAAGGAGCAGCTTATCTCCTGGCAAGAGCCCAGGGCTGAGCGTGGAGCAGAGCTGGGACTCTGTGGTGGATCCATGCCATATTCCTCACCACATAGCTGCTAAGTCCCTGGGAAGTGCCCATTCACTGGGTCACCCTGCTGCCAGAAGTTGTTTCTCACTTCCCACTCCACATTAATGTTTCATCTCCAGCATTTCAAATGCTTTGTATTTCAGTAGGAGCAGGGAGCCTGTCTCTTGTGGCAGCAGTGCCAGAAGCCCAGCACAGGAGAGGGATCTTGAATGGAAGCACAAACTGGAGAGGTTTCTCATGACAGCACTGCTGATTGCTACTACCAAAACCCTTACAGTTCTTACAGTAAATTAATCCCAAATGTTTGCTCCTCTATTCTGCCACAGTTCACCTCAAACTCAACTGGATTTGGAACCTTTCAGTGGCCAGGGCAGCTCCAGATCCCACAGGAAAGACCTTGGTGGAGACTTTCCCTTGTCAGCAATTGCAAAGAGACCTTCAAAACACCAATCCTGTTGTTTTCATTCATGGAACTAGTGGGATTTTCAACCCTGCAAGAGGCAGAAGCAACCATAACCCTGTCTTTTCCTCCCTAGGACTTTCAAAATAAGCCAGGGTTTTATGCGTCTGTTCAAATTACCTTCCAAGGCACTGATTTAACAGAGAGGGTACTCCACCCATCCAAAAATTCGTCAGGAATTAGAAATTGACACAAAATTAAAATGAATGATTCCTACTCCTCCATCCCTTACTCTTCTCATCAGCAACACACCCCTCATGTGACAGAAAAGAGAAGGCACACTCAGGTTAGAGTTAAACTGTGTTTCTCTTTCCAGGCCAAACTGAGGAAGCACATCCAGAACCCCAGCGCTTCAGAGTTGGTGCATTTCCTATTTGGGCCACTGGAACTGGTAAATCTTATTCCCAGGTCTCACTGGGAACTCCCTTTTTATTTCTACTTCACACTTTCAAGCAGACAGATTATGCAGAAGGGTTAGAAAACTGCTCACACCTGGCCACAGCTTTCTCAGGAACTTCCAGAAGTGATGCTTCCAGTAGTGATGCTTCCAGGTTGTTCCTGGCCTCTCATCTGGTTTGCAACTTGAAGTAAATACAGGAAACCCAGCAAATTTTAATCTTTCCATACAATCAATAAAGCATTACTGTGAACAAAAGGGGCAGTGAACTGGGGCTCCCACTGGGAATCTGTCTGGTCTCATCTTCAGGCAAACACAGCTCAGAATTTGCACTGAAAATGCTTGGAAGCAGAAATCCCAACTTGGAAAAGGAGCCAGAAGGGACATAGGAGTAGCCAGATACTCTCCATCTTTTGGAGCATCAGCTTGTGACACTTCAGTTTTCTGTAGCAACAGCTCATTTATAGATAAGATCTTGCTTTGACTCCAATCTAAAAAAAAATCATGTTCCCCTGAACTGTCCAGTCTCCTTTGAAGACTTAGGTTGATGTTTCTTGAGGTGACTGAGCTGATCCAAGGATCAGCTTTGTCTTTGATTCCTGCTTGTCTGTGTATTCCTGGTTTGACACTTTGACGGTTTCTCGCAAGTTCTCTCCTCTTTGTGTGGTTTGTGTGTGACCCAGATCATCAATAGCTGTGGTGGCCCCGAGCTGGCCCGGTCTGTCCTCAGCCCACTGCTTTCTAAAGATGCCACCGATTTCCTGAGAGGACACCTGACACCCAAAGAGATAAACCTCTGGGATTCCCTGGGGGAAACATGGACCAGATCCAGGTGAGAACAGAACTGTCATCTCCCCAGGCTCCCCAGGCAGAGGGAATGCTTGGATGCCCTGATGCTCCTGCTTCTCCTTTGAGGGGATGCTCTCAAAGACACATTCCTGTGAATGTCACCTCATACTCCCACTTTGTGTCCTAGAGCTGACTGGCCCCGAGATGCGAACATCCCCACCTACATCCCCAAATTCCGCAATGGCTGGGAACCACCCACAGAAATCTTCCGTGGAGCTCCCTGGGAAATAGACATCGGACACTTGCAAGAGGAGGTTAGTCCTGTGTCCCTGGGGATCCTCTCTTCCCTCTCCCTCCCCCTTTTCCAGAGAGATGGAGCTGCAGGGGGTGTGGTGGTGTACAACAAGTAGTTGGCTCAAAATTCAATTGGATCTGGTTGCTGCAGTTAAATATGGAAAGCAAATTGTGAGGCTGGAAAAGGGCAGCAATAGTCAGCCTCTCCCGATTCAAGACAACAGGACCCTACAATGTCACTGAGCTCCAGGGACACAGGCTTCCCTGAAGAACATCTTGAACAAAAGCTGCCAGGCCATGACTCATCTCCCACTATCTCTCTCCTTTCCTCCAATCAGCTTTCCCCTTTCCTGGTATCAGTGACTCCATGTCTGTCTTTCCAGCTCTCCTCAGCCAATGGATATCCTTACCGGAACTCCTCACTCAAGCGGGGCCAGACGGCTGAGCAGACACAGCCTGGGGATGCCTTCAAACAGAATGTTACTCCACATGGAAACAGGTAATGGATCTGTACTCCGGGAGCTTCAGCTCCTGCCTTGGAACCTCATGAACATACATGGACACATACAATGACACTGGGAAGTTTAGGCATCCTGGAGACAACTCCCTGCCACTATTAATAACCACAAATGGAAGATAAAGATCACTGGAGGGATTATTCCTAGGAGCACTGTCTGCTGTTAAATCCCCTGCAGCTCTGCAAGGAAAGGAATCCCAGGTGTTTTCCACCACAGGAGACAAAAATACTGACTGATTTCATCAGTACATCCATCGGTTTTGTTTCCCAACATCAGCCCACCAAAGTGACCTTAAGGAACAGAGGCCAAAGATGCTGCACTGTGCTTTGGCTCTCCACATGTATAGGGACGTTGGAATCATCAAATTACAGAATGGACTGGGTGGGATGGGACCTTAAAGATTACCCAGTTCCAACCCCCTGCCAGGGCCAGGGACACCTTCCGCTATCTCAGGTTGCTCCAGGCTCTGTCTAACCTGGCTATGAACACTTCCTAGGATGGGGCAGCCATCTTTTCTGGACAACCTATGCCAGGGCCTCCCCACTCTCCCAGGGAAGAATTTCTTCCCAATATGCCATCTAAACCCCCCCTCTGGCAGGGGGAAGCCATTCCCCCTTGTCCTGTCACTCCAGCCTCTTTCTCAAAATTACTCTCCAACTCTCTTGGAGTCCCTTTAGGCACTGGAAAGGGCTCTAAGGACTCCCTGGAACTTTCTCTTCTCCAGGTTGAACATTCCCAGCTCTCCCAGCCTGTCAGTGTATTGCTCCAGCTCTTGGAGCACTTCCTTGCCTTTCCTGGCCTGCTCTGGACACCCTTGAGAATCTCTCCGTTCATCCCAAAGCCATCACAGGTGGCACAGACAGAAGCTGCCTACAGGGGGAATCTGCCCTAAGGGAAGGGCACACACAAACCTTGCCCTGTTGGAAACACAGGGCCAGGGAAGAGTGGCCTGAGCTCCCAGCACTGCTGGAAAACATTCCAGCTGAGGAAGGAGCTTTGTTTCACTGGAGACAGCAGCTCCCCCTCGGCTTTAGACACAACCAAAGGCAAACCCACTGATTAGAGGCTGAACAAAACAATATATTCCAGTCCTGCCCACCTCTCCCCCGGGGAACTGACAGGATGCTGAGTTCAGACAACTCTTCTTAATGAGACAGAATTCTAGAAAATGGAGAAAACCCCCTCCCCTTTCTTCATAAGTCTCAGAAAATTCATTTCCAAACCCAGAATCAACCAGGCCACCCTTTTGCCTCAGGTTTTTTCCCAAGGGAAAGATGACTCTTCCACCTTTGAACAGCTTCAATGCTCATTTTCCATCACCAGTTACTCCTTGGTACAAAACCTTCATCAAAGTACTTTTAGTTCAGAGTTTAGAGGTTCCATCTTCTTCCCTGTTAACATGAGCTCACACCTTGAAAATTGTCACATCTCTGAGTGTCACCAAACTCTTCCAGACTTCCACATGAATCCTCTGCTGTGACTTGACACATCACTTTGCACGGATTTGAGTCAAGTTTTCAGCTGACCATCCACTTTCCTGTCACCAGCTCTAGTCTGGGGAAAAAACCCTCAAGCCAGACTGTTTTTCCATGGTTTGCTGTTCTAATCTAAAAGATTTATAAGCTTTACTACAAGAATTGAAACCCACAACAAAAGACCTTAAATTCAATTATATCAGCAAAATAATAATTTTTTTTCTCATTTACCCTATCACTGGTTCTGGTAGGAACATCACGTGGTAGAGATGCAGTGTGGAACAGGGAAAGGATAATTTCTCTTCTCCAATTTCAGTTTTCTTGGCCTTGTAATTGGATGGGCCTCCACAAAAACTCCAGTTTTTCTCTCCTGCAGGAATTTTGAGGCCCAGGGAATGGCTGTGCCCAGGAGATTTGCCAAAATCCGCTACGATTTCACTGCGCGAAACGCCAACGAGCTCTCGGTGCTGAAGGATGAAATCCTGGAGGTACGTGACCCCTCCTGGGACAAGGTGTGTCCCCTCCCCTTCCCAGGGACTACATAGCAACTATGAGTTCTTCAGCACCCAGAGGCCCTCTCCTAGTCATCCTTATGATAAATTCTGATGCCTTCCAGGAAAAGTTTCAATCCTGGATTGCATCTGAGAGCAGCAGATCTAATCAGAGCTCCTGGCCTCAGTGATGTCCTTCTGGCAACTTCACCTTCTGGGTGGTCCATCCCCATTGTATCCTCGTTGTGTATGCCTGAAATTCCATGTTCCCAGGAGCAGATTTATTTTTGTCCCTCTCTCAGGTGTTGGAAGACAATAAGCAATGGTGGAAGTTGCTCAACCGGAGCGGGCAGGCCGGTTACGTCCCATACAATATCCTGGATGTGGTGAAACTGGAAGAGCTTGAACAGGTCTGTAGTCAGGTGGTACCTGACTGGTACCAGCTGCAGGGCACAATCTGCCTCTGGGAATAATCTTGTCATTAGACCTCCCTGGATTTCTTAGGATACTACGCACGTGTCAGGATGAACCCTCAGAAGCAGACAAAATCAGGAGATTCCTGAGTCTCCTGTGATAAAACTCCTGTTTTGCCACGATCGCCCTCCCAAATAAGGCCTATCCTTCCCATTTGTGCAGCAGCCTCCTGTCTTCAAAATTTTTCCATGTCAAGCTTTTTGCTGGGGATTAAATTAAAGATGGATACTCCTCACTCTCAGTTCAGTTAAGCAGCAGGAACGCATCACTCGGGTGGAGGCAGATGGAAACACCATCTAAGTGAGAATTAAGTGAATACTGCAATTTGCACTACAGAAATGTGGAGCTGGAGTGTTCTAAACACCCTAGGGAAGCAGGGAATTGCTTCCCTATTTTGGTATTTCAGAGTGTGGACAAAGCCAAAGCAGGCCCAGCAAGCTTCTGGATAAGTCCTTGCTAGGTTAATCAAAATGTCAAAAAACTTCACAGTCTGCTCCAGGCCCTTGGCAGCGGTCATGCTTTACATCCCAGCTATACAGCAGTGAGGCTTTGCCTTCCAATGGGATTGTACATGTTTGGCATGTCTAGGAATTCCTTCATGCAAACTTCAGACTTTGCTTTGGGTTCTTCATTCCCAGAAATTAAGTTCTTCCATGCAGCTCCACCTGTGATCTCACCAGCCCCACATCAGCACAAGGACAACACAGCAGTTTGTCCCTCAAATGAAAATGAAAAATGGCAGGAAAAAAATTCTTACTTTTTTTTCCCCTCCCCTTTCTAACCAGTCTAACCAGAGGTACAAAGGAGACCTGAGCCCCAGGGGCTATGGCCCATCCAGTCCAACTCACAAGATGCCTGCCAGCTACGCCGGGGATAAGTGGGGCAGTGAGATGTTATCCCGCAACTCTCCACAGGACGCCAAAGAACGTAAGTGCGTGTCCCGCTCTGTGTCCCACACTGGAGTCCCCTGGGTTTGGATGCTCTGGGGACCAGACCTACCCAAGGGGCTCTCCTGCACGCTTCAGTGATCAGAAATCGAACAGCAGCAGGTCTGGAGGCCATTCCAGGAAGGACAAGAGCCAAGAGAGTAGCCCTAGAGCTTGTGACACCTCCCAGGCTCTCAGGCAGCCTGGGACAAGCCCAGCAATAAGGGATCAGCCCCTTCCTCCTTCCTCCAGCTTGACCTTCGTCCTCCTCCTCTCAAGGAGAAAGTTTCCTTTCTCTTCCAAGACACTGAAGTGTGTCTAAGGAACAACTCACATCAATCCCTTTCTCTCCCTTCCTTTTGCTCTTATCCTGCCACATACGCTGTGCCTGCCTGGCCAGTTCCTTTACGTGGTCCCACAGAATTTCCAGCCAAACAGGAGATCCACATCCCTCCTTCATCCTCTGTATGTTGTAGGGGTCACAGAGCAGGAGAGAGACCAGGGCCCCCGCTCTCCTCACCCCTTATCCCACCCTGTCCACTCTTGGAAGCAGGAGCCCTTTTGGGATGATGGAAAGCCACGCAATACAAGGACACGAATCTGTTCATAGCACCGAGTTACTCTCCACAGTCCTCAGGAGTTTCATGGGGAAAGTGACACTGGATGAACTCCAGATCACTGGAGTTTTCCCAGAATCACAGGATGGCCTGGGCTGGAAGGAACCTTCAAGCTCATCTCATCATGAGTGTGTTCCTCACTCCCAGTTTGTGCTTCCTGCTGCTTCTGTTCCACTGTGGAGCAAAACCTGGAGCTCTGGGATCAGCAAATCACTCACTAGAAGTAGCAGAGAGGACTGAAAAGGTCTCAATCCCAACTCTCCAATTGTAGATTCTCACAGATCTGTCTGTCCACACCAGGCAACAGCCAAGGGGTGATGGGAGGAAAATAAATGACAACACAGGGGCACAGGAAAATGGGAAACACTTTTCTGGGCTGAATTTAAATAAAAATGCTGAGCCACACCCCCATTTTCCTTACAATTCCCCACAAACACATTTAATGGGATTTTTGACTGAAGATTTGATCTCATTCCCTATTTGTTTCTACAGAACTTATTCATAGGGGCAAACCATTACAAGGCCGTACAAAAGCACATTTGTGCTTCTCTGGAAGGTGAACGACTCTGGCAGCCATCCTAAGTGGAACAATACAGAAAGAAGGAACAGCATAAACCCCTGACTCAGGGCCTGTAACATGGATTCTCCAATTCCAGCCAAGAGCCATCCTCAGTTTCAGGAGGCAAAAGTTTGTTTTCTCTTTTCCCCAATAATTAAGTTACTCAGTTGAAATAACTGGTAATGTCTTTTGTAAATGTTTAGGGGAGCTCATTTTCCAAGTAGGACCACACAAACAAGAACACCTCCTCTAACCATTTTCCTTACAATTCCCCACAAACACATTTAATGGGATTTTTGACTGAAGATTTGATCTCATTCCCTATTTGTTTCTACAGAACTTATTCACCAAATGGATGAGCTGAATGACGAACTGCTTAAGAAGATCACAAACAATAAAATTCAGCCTCCCCACAGGAATTTCAAAGTGGAAAAGCCTCAGCAAGTTTTTGTGCCCCTCACCTTTGAATCCAGCACTGAAGAAGTCAAAGCCTGGCTGGAGGCCAAGTCATTCAGCAAAGAGTAAGATTTGCTCTATTGCCACATGAAACGCTCGTCCTTCCCTGGAGAAGGAGCTGGGGAGGCTGCTGGCACCATCTCACCTGGGACAAGTCACTGGGATTTACTTACAGAGCCTGTGCTGCAAGTTAGATTTCAACCCTCAATTTAGGTCCGAGATCAGCCAGGATGTTCAGAGCCCAAACACACTCCCATTCTTTCTTATAAACATTTTCTTGGAGAAAAATAATCAACGAACTAAACCCACGGCCTGAAGTGCCACTGGAATCAGCTGCCACCCTGGCACAGCCCCAGGGCCCTGTGATACGATCCCAGTGCAGCTCCCAGCCTCCCATCTCCCACTCCTCACCTCTGGCACGAGCCACGTGCAGCACATCCATCATCTGCCACTTTGTGTCTCCCCAGGACCGTGGAGCACCTGGGCATCCTCACCGGAGCTCAGCTCTTCTCCCTCAACAGAGAGGAGCTGAAGAAGGTGTGTGGTGATGAGGGAAACAGAGTGTACAGCAAGATCACGGTGGAGAAGAACCAGCTGGAGGTAAGTGTTTTCCTGGATAATTCCTGAGGGAATGGGGGGCTGTACCAGCAGTGTCAGATAGCTCATTAAGCAGGCATTTTAAGAAACATAATTTGGGGGGAAAAAAAATGCAACCAAGCCTACACCAGCAATAAAACACACGTAAAAATTCTGAAGTGTCTTTTAAGCAAAAGGCCCCAACTCCATAAGATCCCCCTGTTTCCACTAATTAATCTGCTTTTTACTGATATCACCTATCCCTTTGAAACTAGCTCTACTCCTACAGCATTCATTAAATACTGTAATTTAACTGCAGCTTGAGGTTCCAATCCCAACTTTCTGTTTTGTTTCCATTTCAGAAAAGCAGAGGGGAGTCAGAGCTCCAAGAAATCATGAAGCGCCGCCAGGAAAGGATTGATTCTGCTAATTAAAGTCTCTCTGCTTTATTTCAGCTCTTAGCCCTAAGTAGTGCAGGAAAAAGGGAATGAAAGCGATGATTCCCGGCCCAGGCCGGAGGCAGCAGAGCTCCCCTTGGGGTCCAGCTGCCACCAGAGTGACAATTCCTTGAACACTGTTGGGAAGGGTTGACAATAAGACCATATCCCACTGGGAAAGGTGTTTTAATTTTGCATGAAGTATTTTTTTTATAACTATATATTTTATACCGGAATTTTCCGTGCGTGCGATCACTCGTCCTAAGCGTCCCCGACCTCCTACAACAAGGGCTGGATTCAAACAAGGACCCCCAGAGCTTTTCTCCAAGGGCTGTCCCTGCTCCCACCCCTCGCTGGCAGAGCAGGCCTGGACACAGCTGAGGAGAGCCCAGCCTCAAGGCCTGGAGCCTGCACCACGGGAATAAGCCTTGGAGCCCTGCACTGCTTTGGGTTTGAGGAAAGGACACTAAAGCTCATCCTGCTCCACCCCCCATCATGGGCAGGGACGCCTTTCCCAAGCCCGAGTTGCTCAAATCCTGTCCAGCCTGGCCTTGGACAC